TTGAAGAAAACTTAAAACTACTATTAACTGGGTTGGATACTTAGATTTTATTTGAAAAGCACGTATTTAGTTTTTAGCGCCTTTTTTTAAAGGTAAGGCCTTTTTTAAAAAGATAAGTTTGTACTGATATCACGCATTTTGTAGAGACGAACGTCTTTATAAACAATTTACTTTATAATTGACTTTAAGAAATAGATTTTTATTATTATGTGTTTGTACGAAATTTGGAGAAGGTCCAAATTGGTCTTTATTGACTTTTTCTTTGTGAAATAATTTTTATATAAGTTTTAAAGAAGATGTAAAGATATAATTACTTGAATCGATTAAAAACGTCAAGACGATGGTTATCTGTATTTTCCAAATTTCATTTGTATTCGATCTTTTGTTAAATATTAATTTTTTACCTTTTTTTAAAATGGTAAGTTTGTATAAAATTTAAAAAATCTTTCCGTCATCGTTTTATAATTGTGATATAAAAATGTTGATATACTACATGGGCTGAAAAGTCCCGGGATTTTTAATGAAAACAAGCGTTTTTTGGGCAAAGTTATATTTATTCCTCAACATAGTTGCCTTCGAGAGCGATACACTTGGTATAGCGATTTTCCAACATTTCGATGCCCTTTCTGTAGTACGAATGTCCAAGCGTTTCGTTCCTTCGAAATACGCCTCGGTTTCCGCGATGACTTCCTCATTCGATCTGAATCTCTTTCCCTGGAGCCACCGTTTGAGGTTTGGGAACAGATAATAGTCGCTGGGGGCCAAGTCTGGAGAATACGGTGGGTGAGCAACCAATTCGAATCGTAATTGGTCCAATTTGGCCATCGCTTTCAAGGATGTGTGTGACGGTGCGTTATCGTGATGGTACAGAACGAAGGCCAAAGTAGCGTCATTCAAACGACTGTAGCTTGTAACGAATGGACGAAATGTCATGAAACTTCATACATAAACTAGTGACAGATAAGCCTTTCGAAATGAGTCATGTTCATTTTCTAGTGGCGCTAGAAATCGAAAAATCTCGGGACTTTTCAGCTCATGTAGTATATAATATATCAAAACGATCATCTACGGCCATCTATACTATATGCAATTAACTTTTTTTTCGAGTAGTACGTACTTTTTGCGCCTTTTTTTACCTTTTTTTAATTATACAAATTATATATAAAATGTTGCGGAATTTAACTTGGCATAAGTATTAACCTTTCTTTACCTTTTTTTAAAATTAAAATAATAAGTTTGTATATAATTTAAAAAATCCCATATCAAAACTGTCGTATACATATATACGTATAGGTTTTATCATTTAGGTTTTATAAATAATACATATCGTTAAAGTAAAATGTACAGAATGTTTGATAATTTTGCCGGTAACGCTCGTGGACAGATAGAGCAGATTAAATTGAGTCGAAAAGTCCTCTTTCATTTTGCAATTACTTCCGTAATAGTTAACCGAATATTACTAAAAATCGCCAATTATTGGTTTTCAATAATTTTTTATTTAGATACTGTCAACTTTACAAAAAAATAGTAAATGACAAAATTGTTTATTTTTTTTTTCTTATAGTTTTGAGAATTTTTTTTAGAATTTTCTTATGTTCAGGACTCTTATTTCAAATAAATTTATTTTTATATATTTTAAATTTAAAAAAATTAAAAAGTTATTTGTTATTTTATATAACTTTTTCTGACCTATTTTCCTTATTTAAGGGGTTACACTACCCAAGCGCGTCGAAAAAAATAAGCTTTTTCGTGAATTTTTTTCTTGAATTCTAGGTGGTGGATCAAAACAAAAATTTAGGGCTTTATTACACATATATTAAAGTTCTCAAAAATATTTTTTATTTATATATGTATAACAAAATGGCGTCGTGGCAGTATAAAAAACAAAAAAAAATTTTTTTGTAGGAGAAAAACGGTGTGCACCGTTGCAGTCCTGGTGTGCCATGTGGAACAAAAAAAAAATTTTTTCTTTAATTTACAATAGTTTTTCCATAGAAGTACCGAGGATTTTTAATTTTGTTTAAAAATTCACAAATTTGTATGAGTTTAAATTTTTTTTTCATTTTTTAGCAAAAAAATCGACCTTAAATTGTTAACTGCAAACGTAATAATTTATCAATCATAAAAATCGTGTGTACTTCCACGGAAAATCTATTTAAGAAGTTGCAGTTAAAATTTCAAGTCAATCGGACAAAAATTGAGCGAGATACGGTGTACACCGATTCGTAAAACATAGTTTCGAGTAAAACGGAAAATAAAATAAAATTGTTTAAAACCTTAAAAATCGATTTTTTTTTTGCTTTACCTTTTTAGTCCGCAATTCCAGGGCCATACACGACTTCTTACACTTCACTGCTTCACTAATAATTGAAAAAACTGACACAAAGTTTATAATTCGATAACCGAAAGAAGCGTCAATGACTACCTGCGACCCTCTGTCCGAAATCCGCTCGGTCACGCTGCCACTGTAACGCGCATAACTTTCTCTATATTTGAAATATTTTTACCGGTCCAATCTTAAAATGTTCCTGACATTTCAAGCTTCAAAATAATGCAAAAAAAAATCCATTTTTTGAAAATTTCAGGGTGGTGTAACCCCTTAATATTTTAAATAAGTTTTTGAAACTTATTTTATATTTTTTATTTAAAATACGTATCAGTTTTTTATTGATTTTATATTTTTAATAATTTTCTGGAATCTATTTTATATTTTATATTTTAAATAAATCGTGAGTTGTTACCGAGTCGTTGGTAAAAGTGACAGTGCGTACTAAAGTAGCGTTGGGTGGCGCGGTGCTTCCATCTACCCCTATTCTCGCGACGACCGTCACTTACGAATTAGCGGGAATATCTCAAATACACAAGTATTTTGTTTCATTATTCTGTGTTTCAACATTCGGATGTTCTTATATCTGACTTCTCGAAGCAACTCGTCTGTTCTCTCCCTCATTTAGTCATTTCCATTTTGTGTTTATACATATATGTTGTATGTAATCTTATTTCTTTAATGTTTACATCCTTTAATTTTGCGGTTATCTACTTGTGCATAATTGATCATAAGTAATATGAATTGCTGAATAATGTTAAAAAACGAACAAGATACAGAAGAAGTTATAATGAAAAACATTTTTCCAGTTTATTTATTTATAAAAAACATTTCGTCAACAATAGGAATGTTTCCACGGTTTTTTTATAACAACTGATGTTCTACAAAACTGATAATGTTCTTTTCATTGTAGTAATATGTTAGAAACTGTGTAAAAAACTGAGGTTAAAAAGATGCCATATATGTGAGACACTGTGCCACAAAGCGTTAAAAACCCTAATTTATTGTTTTAAAAACACAAATTCAATGCTTTACAAACAAATTCTTTGCAGTGAATTTGTGTTTTTAAAACAGTGTATTTGTGTTTGTGAAGCAGAGAATTTGTTTTTAAAAGTGAATTTATGTAATTAATGCAGAACGTATACATAGCGCTATATTAAGTCGGGATAATAGATATAT